GGGGGGGGGGGGGGGCGCAGGGCTGCTGCCTTATTTCCCGGGAGCAGCAGGGGATGGCTCTGTGCTGTCTTGTCACTGTGAGCAAAGCAGCCTGGAGGAAATGGTTGCCCGGGGCACAGAGGAGCATCGTTCCCCCCAGGGCGGGGGGGCTCTGGGTCCCACTCTGGAGGAGCAGCAGCAGCAGCAGAGGTTTTGCAGGGAGACCCCCTGGCATAACTCAGGTGAGTGCCCTAGCTCTCCTGGATGGGGAGGGCATAGGGCATGTCAGAGTCCAGGGCTGGGGTTGGTTTCCAGGGAATATTTTTTAGCTGGGATTGATCTGCTAGGAGCCTGCTGTAGGAAAGAGGCCTGTCCCCAGTAAAGAGCCAAGCTGACTTAGCTTTTACAGGGTCCCAGCTGGTGGGCAAAGCACCAGGCGTGAAACTTCATAGGGTGCAGAGGGGATCTAGGGCTGTGTCACAGAGTCATAGTTCCTGCTTTAACTTTCTGCCTGGGCCAGGGGCTCCCTGTGTAGTGCTGGAGCTGTCAATGTCTCCTTTGTTGCACAGGATAGGGAAACTCACCTACAGGTACAAAGCACTGCAGCAGAACTTGCTCTGGGCAGCCCAGCACTTTGCATTAAACTTGCTGGAGTTAATGCCTCTACTTTCTTGTCTCACTCAAACTGAGAAACAGTTTTGGTATACAGATCTTATGCCCCTGTCAACTCACCTTACCTTTTTCTGTGTACCCCAATTTGAGAAATACTCTCCTAAATGGAAAGGGCAGAAAGGCTGCTCTAAGGCCTGCCTCTCCCGAAGTGCATACATTCACTTTAGAGAGAATGACCTTTGTTAAAATGCCCCTCACTGCTCTGCTGTGGTTGCTATCCAAGGGCATCTGGTTGTTGCTACCCTGCAGCCTCTGTGTGCTGTCTATTAAATAGCGCAGAGGGCTGGAGCAACTGCCTGTGCCCAGATTGCGTACTGGGTCACTTCACAGCTGTGAAGTTCCCCTGGGACTGGGTTGACAGCAGTAATTTTCATTGATTTCTTTTTCCTGACTCCTGTGGGAGACCCCCAGCAATGAAATGGGCAGTGGATGCAGGGACTGCTTACTGAACTGTGACACTATGCTCCACATAAAGGAGCCCCAAACTGTTTTTTGCTGTTCTTATCCCTAATGCTGGCAATAGGACACATGCTCAGGGGTGAGGGCCTGGCAGAGGCTGGGGATTTTATAGCGTGCCAGGGACATGCAGTGTTTCTTCTGGGACAGGCAATAGGGTGCAGCTGCAATGCTAAGGCACTTACTGCTAAATTCTTTAGGAACTGAGGACGGTGCAGTGCAAATAGATTTGCTTCAATCTAGTGTGTTATGCAAAAACCTAAGATGAATTAGAACAACACAAATGGGATCCAATCCCTCACCCTGACTTCGAAAAAGGGGGGAAAAAATCACAGATGTAGATTTGGATTATAGGTTCACGCCATCTCTGTCAACACCACAAATCACTCACAGAGCTACTTATCCAGAAACCTCTAAGTGCTCACTATAGTAAGCCATATTAGATCTAACTTACAGGAAAGGAAACAGAGCACAGTGGTCAGCTGCTGACTAGGGCTCTGTGGCCAGGCAAGGAAGAAAGCCCAGTGCTTTGTTAACTTTACTACACTGTCTTCCTTCAGTTGCGTGTCTTGGCTTTTTTTTCTTTCCAAGGGAGGAGAGGGAAGAAGACTAACAGACTCCTTGCATGTGATCTGAGGGAAATAACACCCCTCCTCATTTTCATTTTGACCCCCTGCCTCCCTGTGTTTTCCTTAGGAGCACTTGTTCCTATCACAGGTTTTCATGCTTGTCCTTCCTCTGCACCTGTTTGCGTTGCAGACTCCAACCTTTGGGTTCCTGTTTGATATTGATGGAGTGCTGGTGCGTGGCCGCCATGCCATACCTGCTGCCCAGGAAGCCTTCCAGAAGCTGACAGACTCCAACGGTCAGCTCTGTGTGCCTGCCGTCTTTGTGACCAATGCTGGGAATTGCTTTCGGCATGCCAAGGCCCAAGAACTGTCCAGTGCCCTGGGATTGGAGGTACAGCACCCAATGGGGAAGGCATAGTATGTTAAGCTTACACGGGACACAACGCTGGTGGAGGGAAATCCTTGGTTGTAGAGCAGAGGACACTTTGAGGCAGAGCTACTATCACCTGTTTGCAGGTTTGAGTGTTTGAGTGTGAAGTCCCTGTCCTCTGTGCAGCTGTAACTTCGCCTGAGGTTATGGGCTTCCACAGTTGGGATTGGGGCAGCTTCAGTGGGGGTCCTTCCATTTTTTGTGAGGGGAAAAGTCCTTGGAGCTGTTTGGGGAGGGGGTGATGCTTCACCTTCCTCATGCTATCTATGGTCCTCTCTTTCTCCCACAGATATCTCCAGAGCAGATCATCCTGTCCCACAGCCCCCTGCGACTCTTCCGTCAGTTCCATGAGAAGTGCGTGCTGGTGTCTGGGCAGGGACCAGTTGAGGAGAATGCCAGGAAGTATCCTTTGATCTGAAGGCAGGGCCCCTAGATCTTCCTGTAAAAGCCTTTCAGCTAGTCTAGGCTGTTCTGACCTCACATGGGGAGCGGTTTTAGCAGCAGCACTTACTTTGACAACCAGCAGGAAGGCTGGGGAGCAGAAAGAAGTTGGGGCTTATCCTGAGGTCATCTGCAGGGAGGAAGAAGGGAAGGGGCAGGGCACAGGCTGTTATGGAAGAGCTGAAACATTGGCCTGTGTTGTCTGTCCTTTGCATCCAACCCTGTGGCCTAGTTGTTTTCCTTGGTCCATGTTTTGCTGCTTGTTCTGACTGGGTTGGTTACAGTCCAGACTTCACGTCCCTATTACTGGGCTAGCTGCACTGCTCCACCTTTTCAGGGTCTCACCAAGTGCACCCTCACTAGTGTCAGGCCAGGGGCTTTTACCTCCCCTGGGTTGGGAAGCTCATATTATCAACTAGACAACAGGCTGCAGGGACAGCTACCCAATGGGCTGCCTACCAGTACCTCACGTGACTTGAGGTGGACCTTGCTGAGGGGACTCTTCAAAGTGCTGTAACAGCCACAGAACAAAGAACCATTTTGTTTTTCACCGAAAGACACAGTGCAGACAGGGCCAAGGGTTAAGAGCCCCATGCATGTTACTTTACATAAGCTTTTCCACCCTATCCATAGCTTAGGCTTATTCCCTATCTCTGTGCTGGGAAAAGCTGCTTATGCTGCTTGTGGTTACTCCCTCTAAGCCAGCCATCCTAGCTAGTCAAACTCTTTCACTAGGAAACCTTGGGTAGCCTCCCCCAGCTCACCCAAATCCTGCCCCTTTTCTGGAAAGAACCCCATTGTAGTTTGGTTGGAGCCAGCTATTTGAAGCTTAGTTTTCTTGGGGGCTGCCTGCCTGTGGTGGTCTTATCTATGTCATTGTTCTGCCCTTCCATGCCTGGATGTTTAACAAGCCCTTCACAATCTCCTTTGATTTGCCTTTATATTATCAGGCGAGTAACACACACTGAACAGGGAAATTGAATAACAGCAGTCAAGAGGTGTGACAAGCTCTACATCTGCCACACTCCTGCCTCTGCTTTGCTGTATTAGGGACAAAATTTCTAGATCTCTGCCACTGGCCAGAAAGGAGTCCATGTCAGAAGTGGCAGCCATGCTGTGGGTACATGCTTTGAAATCTACCTGCATAAAGCCATGTCACTGCACATCTTGCTCCTGCCCTCTATTTGTCCTCTACTAAAATGGTCCCAAGTTCCCTCTTCGCTGCTAATGCACGTCTCAAATCTTTCCTGAACTAACCAATGCTGCTCCAGTGCTAGAACCCACACCTGAACATTTGTCCTGAGACCTATCTGCTCTGATCAGACCCATATCAACCCTGCTGTTCCAGTGCTGCTGTATTTGTATCATTCTCACTGATTCTGGGTAGACTTGTGCTGATGTAGTTGCCTAGATCTCTTCCTTCAGCCTCTAGGCTAGGGGTGGGCAATTATTTTGGTTGGTGGGCCACTTACCAAGTTTTGGCAAGCTGTTGAGGGCTGCGTGGGTACCCCTGTCCCTTGGCAGGTGCCCCACCCAGTTGCCATCTTGTGACCAGAAGTCCTGCCCCCTAATCCCTGACTTTTGCCACCAGAAGTCCCTCCCCTTGCCCCCAGAAGTACTCCTTTCAGCAAGGGATTTTTCCATCTCGGAACTAGAAAAATGCCAAATTTATATTCTAAAAATCGAACATCTACAACATTAATTAATTTGGTTTAAAAATATATTTTTGTCCTGATTTTCATGCATTTGTATAGTGTACATAGAGGTAATTGTATAGTGTACATAGAGGTGGGTATAGATTTGTGGGGAGCTGTGGGTGTGTGGGGGAGGGTGTGGGGGTGTGGAGTGAGGGGAGCATGTGGGTATATGGCTGTGGATATGTGCAGTGTGGGTGGGTATGGAGCATGGGGGTGGCTGGGATGTGTGAGAGGGTGTGGGTGTGAGGGTCTGCACATATGGCAGTGCAAGAGGGTGTGTGGGTGCATATGTATGGCGGGGGGGGGGGGGGGGGGGCGTGGGCCAAACA